AATTCCATCCAGCTTCCTTACTCAGACACAGTCCGGTATCTTGGTTTTCATTTAGACCGAAGACTAACGTGGAACCCACATACTAGACTCAAAAGACAAGAACTCAACCGACGATACGGCCAGCTATACAGACTACTAAACAGAAAATCTAAACTTTCTATTGAAAACAAATTACTTATCTACAAGACAATACTGAAACCTATATGGACATACGGACTTGAACTGTGGGGGACAGCAAAAGCTTCTAACATCAAACGTATTCAATCCTTTCAATCTAAAGTCCTTCGAACAATAGTTGATGCTCCGTTCTATGTAAATAACAAAATCCTACACCATGACCTTAATATCCCATTTGTCCTAGACCTTATTCCAGAAAAATTCTCCAAATTTCACCAGAACCTTACCTATCATCCAAATCCCCTTGCACAATCTCTATCCAGCACCACCCATCCTTACAATCCTCCTCGAAGGTTGAAGCGGCAGTGGCCCAGAGACCTTCTGTAAATAAGCATCTATTGGAGTTTTGGCAATGGCCAGATCCTCCACTCAAGCCCGAGTGTGTATGATTAGGTTAGTTCTTTTGTTTATATACATTTATTTTATTTTATTGTATTTATTTTTATTTTATTTTATTGTATTTATTATTATTAAGTTTCTGTATTATTATTATTTTTTTTATTTATTGTAAATAGAGTGTGAGTGTGTTCTCTGAACACTATTACAAATGTCCTTGATGTGACAGAATGTGATATTTCTAAATAAACAAATATAAAAATATAAAATGTTACTATACGCACAATTAAATTTGGCCAAATCATTCCGAATATATATATATATATATATACATACACAAGTATTATATTCTTCATTTTACAATATGCTATATGATAATTTATGTATCGTAATTTACAATATGATAATTATGTTCCACTGTATTATGTTATGTTATCATTCGCAATGTTTGTACGTAATATAAATTCCAAATAAAATGCCATTTGTCTCAACCTCTATAAAGAGTTTTTTTCTTACTCAATCATTGGCTAAGAAACTCTATGAATCATTCCCTAAATAAATAGTACTAAATCCTGCTTTTTTAATTTTTTAAATATCTTATACGATACATAAACACGGCTGGTATATATGGTATACCTGCATCTATTAATAGACAAACATATGTATGTATGTATGTATGTATTATATTAATTGGGTTTGGTTATGAAGAATAAATGTGAATGTATGTATGATTTATTGCTTATAAAGAAAAACTTATAGCTAGGAGTTGATCGTTTAACAATTCAATAGTAATTATTTAAATGAAAATAAATATTAAGTTCATTCTTATAAATTGAATATAATATGTACATAAATATTTACAAAATAATAATAAATAAACAAAATATTTTACATTTTCAAATTGTTTAAAATAAAGTAGAAATGATAATAATACTAATGATAAAACTTAAATAAAAATTATTAATGAAATAAAGATTGTCTTTGGTCTTATACATTTTAAAGAAGTTTTATAATTTTTAGTCTACACAAGATGAAGTGAGAGGTCTTATTAATTTCTTCTTTATCTTGCCTTAGGACGTTTGTTAATTTTTCTATTGTGTTTTAGTTGTGAATAATAGTTCTAATTAATCTTGATCTATAATGTTTTATTGCATTGTATCGGGCATCACAGATTAAATTGGGATATTAACTGTTCTCCTTTGGAGCATAGAGGACACAAAAATTCAGCATTAATTTTATAGTATGCTCTTGAATGTAGAGTTTTGTCTATGCGGATATTTAAACTATGGCATTTTTCACCACTTTTCAGGGAGCTTATATTTCTCTAAAGGGGTTTAAATGTACTATTTAAGGATAATCCGTGATACAGAACTCTTTTTATCGAATTATTAACATCCACCTGAAACTTCGTAAATAGTTTCATCTCATCGTAACCTATAACTATTTTATTTAAGAAATCTCTTGAAACTGGGGCGTTTTAAATCTTTAAGAGGGCAAACTTTGTCTATTTAGTCAGGTAATAAAAATTCGTAAATATTCATTTGCTTTCTACTTTGATCGTAAGATAATTTGATCACAAAATCGATAAAAAAGGTAGCCTACAAAAATATTGGGCCGTTTGTCTTATATAACCTCATTATTATGAAAATTTGGGGTGTAGGTCACGCCAAACGGCTTAATATTTTTGAAGATCACCTTTGTCTTCGATTTTGTAATCCAATTATCTTACGATAAAAGTACAAAGCAAATGAGTATTTACGAGTTTTTAGTACCTAATTAAATAGACAAAGTTTGCAGATTGAAAACGCCCCAGTTCATAGAGATTTCGTAAATAAAATATTTTTCGATCAGACAAATGTATTTAAGAAGTTTCAGGCGAATTTTAATAATTCAATAAAAAGGGGTCTGTACCACAGACTAGGAATTTCCAATATTCATACAATGCATCTGCTTTTGCTGATTTTTCCATGAGATTAATATAATAATCTCTAGTTAGTAGCTGCTTTAGCCATTTGTCTTTTTCTCCTAATAATAATAATAATAATAAAAAGGCTTAACGAACCCGAAGGTTCGATGCCGACACCACCAATCGCTTATTACACACCTCCCTCCACCGTTCGCCGTCCAAACCCAGTCCCTTCAGATCGGCTTTAATCCAATCTTCCCACCTTCGCTTCGGTCTACCCCTCGGACGCTTACCATTCGGCACAGCAAATATTAACCTTTTATTACCTTTTATTCTCTCGTTACTAAGTCCAACAACTTTACCAGCCCATTTGATTCGCCGCGATGAAATTATCTCAATTATATTACTCGGATGCAGTTCACGCAATTCTGCGTTGTGTAACCGTCTGAAATCTCCGGTTAACTCATCCTTCTTCGGTCCGAATATTCTACGCAATACTTTATTTTCAAAAACCTTAAGACGCTGCTCATCCCTTAATGTAAGCGGCCAAGTTTCGCATCCATAAAGAACTGTATGCAAGATAATTGTTTTATAGATTCTAATTTTTAAGTTCCGGGACAAGAGGCGCGAACTAAGTAGTTTTGTCACAGAAAAATAACAAGCATTTCCCGCCTTCAGTCTAGCCTTAATTTCTTCTTCAATTTCGTTTTTTCTAGTTATCGTAGAACCTAGATACCTAAATTTATCTACCTGTTCAAACATATTACCATCTATATCGATATCACCAGTAGTATCGCCATTTTTGCAGCTAACCATATATTTTGTTTTATTCTCGTTATTTCGAGTCCTAGTTCTTTCCCGGCTTTCATTAACGTTGTCGTATTTAGTTTTATAGTTTCAACGTCTTCGCTTAACAGTACCAGATCATCAACATAGCCCAGCACGGATGTTGTCCCACCCAGATCCAACCCTTTCTCGGTACGCATTACCTCCCTAATGGCATGTTCTAATGCCAAATTGAACAGGACAGGCGAATGGGAATCCCCCTGTTTTAAACCCGAACGAACCTCATATTTTTTGGACAGATTATTACCTATTCTAACTTTATTGAGTGTCTCCGTTTGCTCCTAATAATATTAAATAAATTTTTAATATGGTTTTCTAGTTAAATGGTGTTGGAAATCTTTGGGTCTCAGTGAGTCGAAGATAGCACAATTTGGATAGGTCTGTCGATAGCTTTTCAATAGTCACTGCCACCAATTGAGCATCCGTTTAAATATTTTATGCTTCATGTGAATTTGTTCTGTTTCCAACCTCACATGCCTAGTTGAAGCATTTATCGGTCATGCTTCAGAGCGTTTTAAGTATGATAAATGGACTTTTTCAATTTGGTCTGCATATTTCAGTCTCTATATTTTAGACATATTAAAGGTACTGTTTCATAATGTGTCAAAAAATGTTAGATTATTTTTTTTGTTTCTTTATACATCATATATAAATAAGACTGGATATATATGGTATATCTGCATCTATAAATAGATACACATACTTATTTATATTCTATTGATTGGATGTGGTTATGAAGACTAAATATTTTTATTTACACTAAAACGAATAAAAAATAGAGCTTATGCACAACTTCAACTTATAAAAATATTACAGCCATAAACTTACGAAAACTTAATAATCTAATTATACTAAAAGATCTGCTAAATTATATTTAATAGGGTGTATAAAAAAATATGACTGTTTTATTGAATTCAAGATTTCAAAGGACTGTAAATATTTTAATCCTATTTAATACTTACCAATACTTAATCTTCCCTTTGGAGCATTCTTTAAGCTTGTTTAATCCCATTCGACTTTTCCCAGTCACAGTTTACTTATTTGTTTCAAAGAAGAAACATGACAGCGTTCTACGAAATTCTCGTAATTTTAAGGAAAATTACTGGAAGACAAATTTCACCGCTGAAGCAACTCGTGAAATTATTAAATATGAAGGGAAAGGTGTCCTTGACCAGTGCACGGCGCAGCGATGGTTTGAAAAAAGTAGCATTGGAGAGACGATATAAGAAAGAAAAAAGAGCTCCGGGCGACTATAGATGGATATTGATGAGGTTCTGCAGGAACCTGTTGTGTCAAATCCGTCCACAAGTACTCATGAACATACTCCTCAGCAATCAGTTAAGAGGTTATAAATTTGTTAAAATTTATTGGAAACCCTGGCCTGACAAACTCCTGCCTCATCCACCATATAGTCCAGATCGCTCACAATCGGATTATTACTTATTTAAATCCATGGTCGATTTTCTTCAAGGTAAAAAAAAATTGATAATTTTGAGAAAGCTGTAATGGCGGTCCAAGTGTGGAATCTAGCAGTTGGCTAATGACGATAGATAACAATTGACTATACTTCGAGTGTTAATTGTATTTTATATCAAAGAAATTATAATATAAATATTTGGTAGAAAAACGGTCATTTTTTTATACACCCTATTAAATAATATTTATAATTACAGTTTTCACGTTTTGGGATCGAGATCTGAGTTGAAGTAAAGTTCTTTCAAAGTTAAGAGATGAACTCTGGTGAACGGGTTTTTACATTTTCTGAATTTTTCCTCAAGCGTTCTGTACTGTCTGGGTCTTCTGGGTCCTCCTTATTTTTTGGTTCCACATACAAGCAGTAACTGACACTGAAACAGATAAAGATCAATATATCTAGTCCCAAAAATATAATTTTGAATCATACGAAATTCTTTTATACAGAGTTTTTCAGGGTCAAGTGAAAATATGGATTAAGGATTTAAAAAAAAGAAAAGAAAACTACGGTGTATGTTTTAGAGCACTAATACGGTGTTGCGTTAACATATTAATTTAAATAACATATCATTACAAAGAAGATAAAAAGCTAAACATTTCTCTTACTTGCAGTATGTGGTTATGATTTTTAGTTTCTAAGATATCCAATGCAAAAACACAGGCCGAAGAGGTTGAAACAATATATTTAAAATTATTTTCAGGAAAATTTACTCCTACTTTTATCATGTATATTATTATTATTATTTATTAGTTGTACATATTTGTGGCTCACAATAAATTTGCCATCTACCTTAGTATTCAGCAAATATGATATCAAGGAGAAGAATAACAAGACAAAAAAAAAAAAAAAAAAAAAAACGTAGTAAACAATACACATACATAACATAACACATACATTATAACATAATAACAAAACACACACAAAAAAAATAATGCAGCAAGTAGCTCAATGCAATAAGTCTCTTGGCCACCGCCTCAGCAGTCTTCTGGGCGGATTATATGGATTTGTGGCAGTAGATAGAGCTTGAGTGAGTGGATTGGAATTTAGAGTCAGTCTGTCATGAAAATTATTAAAGCGGTCAGTGGCAGTTGCCGTGATGAAAGGAGTGTTAAGGTAAGATTGTTAAGGTGTAACGTGAGATTTGAAACGTAAAAGGGTGCGTCTACAATTTTCCGAAGGACTTTAGACTGGAATGACTCAATGATTTTTATATTTTATTTCTTTTCTGTTCTCCATAGTTCGATCCAATATGTCCATAGTGGTTTAATGAGGACTTTGTAAAACGTTAATTTATTAGTCACAGATAATTTAGAACGTCTGTCAAGTATCATGTATAAAGTCCTTTTTGGTTTTACGAACTCAGAAGACGGAGAAATGTATTTCCATATAAAACTCGAATACGATTATTTTCCAGTTTATAAAAATTATCTTTTCTCTTTATTTATGTATGTTTTTTTTTTTCTGTTGGCATTACAGACCATGTAGGCTTTTTGCCGCCTTAACAAGCCTGATCCATCTCTGCCTGTCTTGGGCCATTTCTTTTTATTTATCTGCACGTTGTATTGTAATTATATCTATCCATGCCTTTTGGCCTCCTACGTAGTCTTTTGTCCTATATTGAAGCATTTATTTTTACGTAGAGGCTTCCAGATGGATTGCTACCAGCTACATGCCCCACCCATCTTAATCTCCGTGCCTTCATATTCTGAGATATTAATTGACCAGTTTCTAATTGGTCTTTCTTTTCTATGTGTTAGTATTCTGATTCCGGATTGTTCCATTTATAGTGCGGAGAATATTTCTCTCAAATCTTTCAAAACTTTTTCCTAGGCTGCTGGTTAGTGTACAGGTCTCACGACCATATATTAGAACTGGCTTTATCATAGGATTGGAGACTGTTAATTTGAGATTTTTCGGGATTTCGATACCTTAGAATGAAAGAAGAAAGTTCTGTTTGCGCTAGTTATAAGCTGGTCTATTTCTGCTTGTTGGTCATTCATTGGGGTTATTTTGAAGCAAATATATTTACATTTTTCTACTATATGTATGGATTAGTGAAATTAATATACAGGGTGTTTCGGGATTAAATGGCCAAACTGCAAAAATTAACTAAGGATCTCAAATCAAGAAACAAATTTCCTCTGAAGGCAATTTCCAAACTGTTAGTTTAGGAGATATTCACACCTAAAGATTTTCGTTGTTTTAATTATTTATATGAAATAAATAATACCTATTTATTTGTTCTAACTAATTTTTCAATTAAATGTAAACATTAACATTCACAGTAAATGTTTTTCAATGTGAAGATAGAAATAGAAAATAACTTTATTTTGGGACAAAGTCCCTTTAGAATAACAAAACAGACCATAATTAAAATACTGCATCTGGCCAAAATAAAACAATAATAAAAAAGAGAAAGTAAAGAAAATATTAAACAAGCTATCTATAAAAAAAAATCTATATACAAAACACTTAAAACTATGATAAAATACTTAAGAATATGTACAGTAGGAAAAATTATAATTATAAGATATGTCCGCAAACGCTGTGCTATCGCTTGTTATTCCTAACTGTATAAAAACTATTGGCAACATAAGGATGAATATTATTTGTAATTAGCATTGGGAACTCTCAATAACATTTAGCAGTTTGTAAGAGCCTTTCGCAGAGTACTCATCACTATGCCTTCCATTTATACTAATGGAATTCTATTTATCTAATATGCCGATATGGTGTTTGTATACGGTTTGTGCTGTGGTAATGCTGCACGTCCTGAATATGCCAAGCAATTTCCGAATAGAAGATTACCAAACAAGTCTATCTTTAGCTCCACGTTTCAACGTCTTAGAGAAACAGGTACATTTGCTATAATACCACGAGTTTATGGTATTTTTTCCTCTTTACGAAACGAAGAAAGGAGTGCGACCATATTAAAATATTTTGATGATAATCCTGTTACGTTCTTTAATTTAGAAAAATTGTTCCGCAAGAAACTTGCCGGATGCTCAGTGGAAACGGAAGGGGTCACAAAAAAAAAAAAAAAAAAAGAGAAAAATAAGCAAGAATCAATTAAATATCACTAACTATCTAACAGGCACCACGCTATTTAATTGGTCGAATTTGGAAAATAGCTAAACCATAAAAATAAAAAAAAATAAATAAATTTAATTAAAAAAAAAATTGGACACAAAAAAAACATTGGAGTGAGTTACGAACTCGGAACCTATGGGTTTAAAAATATATGTTAATTAGCCTCAGAAACTAATAGAACCTTCTTACTCGGTTAATATTCATTTTCCCTAATCCCTCGAATACAATTTTACAATTCCTTATTAAACCTTTAAAAAAAAACAATAAAATATATAGATAAAACGTGAAAACAAACTGGAGAAAAAGAGGAAAATAAAACTGGCTATTATTAATACTAATGATGAATTTACTTATTTCTATTGATTTAAATAACTGTTAGAGAAAATGAAAATTATGAACAAGAAATTATATTTATAAGAAAATAAATAAAATACAATTAATTAATTACCAAAAAAAATAAAATAAAATTATTATAGAACTAAACATTAACTTAGACTATACAATAAACCAATTAGAAATATTTGAAAAAAAATAGATGGAAAATAAAAATTTATATATATATATATATATATATATATATATATATATATATATATATATATATATATATATATATATATATATATATATATATTTAAAAAACCTCAATGCCTAACTTTGTCCAATTGGCACATTCAGTTATCTGAGAGAGCGGGAACTTATTTGAGGGTCTCCCCAGTCTATCTCCTCAAGCTGTGAAAATGTTCATTCAACAACTTGTAAAATCAAGCGGCACTCGTTAATCACAGGTTCTTGGAAAGGAAAAGAAAAATCTGGTGTACACCGTAAAATTAATGTATTTCACCCACAAAAATCCTTATTGTGCCTCTACACTCGCGAGGTTCCGCCATCTCCAAACTCTCTTTTGTTTTTCCTCCCAATCATCTGTTGGTTATTCCAATCCGAAATAAAATGAATACTTAAAACTAAGACTTATTATAAACTAATACTTATTATTAAAACTATTATTAATTAATTAATTTTAACTAGCCCTCTTCGAGGTAATAAAGTAAAACATTAATTTACGAACTGTAGGTTTTAACAGTATGTTTTATATAAGGTGTTTGTTTTACTTTTATTTCTATTTTTATTTACTTATGTGTATATACATATTTTTTTTTCTTTACTCTTTTGATCTTTCTTCTTATTCTTTTGTTATTACTTTATTTATTTATATTTTTGTATATACGGTATGAATGCAATCTCTGAACTCTATTATAAGTGTCCTTAACTGTGACAAATTGTAATATTTCTGAATAAAGTGTTAATGATATGATAATTTACGAACTAATTTTTTTTTTAGAGAGTGCTACCACTGGGTAGTATCTCTTCAAGCCTGTACATGCCATTATTTATATTTGTGCATATTTACTAGTTGTATTTGTATACAGTTGTAAATTTCATTAAATAAACAAAACAAAAAAAAAATAATGTTTTATTTTATTATTCGTCACGATCCATCTGGCAGAGTACGAAGTTATATTAAATTAATAAAGTAGTCAGAACAAACAAATAGGTTTCATTTCTATCATATAACGCACTAGCGGATCCAGGATTTCATTTTTGGGGGAGGGCTTCAGCCCGAAAGCTTTTTTTTTCATAAAAATAACGATAATTACTTTAGAAAAAAAGAAAGAACCTAACTACCTGTATGAAATGGTGTTTAAGTGATTCCTAAAGCCCTTTTAAATGTAATTACACAAGCAATAATACTTTAAGAGATACTATTTTAATATTTTCTTCGATAAAACATGGCTATATTTTACCATTTTGGGGGAGGCTTCAGCCCGAAAGCCCCTCCCCCCCCCCGTAGATCCGCCCGTGATATAACGTAAGTAATTCATAACAAAGAAAATCTTTAGATGTGAATATCTCCTAAACAAAGCGTTAGCAGATAGATCTTCCGAGAAAATTTTTATGTTATTTTGAGGTCGTTACTTCGTTTTTGCAATTTGGCCACTTAACCCTGAAACACCCTATACAACAAGTGAATATTCTGGAAATAATTATGTTACCTGTAGAGAATCGCCAGGAGAAGAAAGCAGCCAGACGATACGAAGAAGAAAGCCCCTAGCCATGGACTCTTGGAATGAGCTGCCACGTACTGGTATGTCCAGGATATGCCGAGGGGCACGAAAGTCGTGAGGATGGCGTTTATTCCGAGGTAGATACCTGTACCATGTAAGCAAATAATATAAATCACATAATTTTTTAATAATAATTATAATAATATAAAAGATAGCT